TTTGGTTCTTGGCGATATTCGCTGCCATCCTCCTTCTCGTGATATTCTTCTTTCTTCCCGAAACTTTTCATAGAAACCCTTTAAAACCTGTTTCAGCCCCTCAAACTCGATCGCAATTTCGGTTTAATCCAATCACGCCACTAAAATTGTTACGATGTCCAAACGTTGCGCTCGTGGTGACGTATGTGACTGTGGTATATACGATAATTCAAGTTCAAAATATTAGTGTTCCTAGGAATTTTTTCGTAAAATATAATTTATCAAATTCAGTTATTGGATTGTTATTTCTTGCACCTTGTGCTGGGTTTATAACCGCGAATTTTATAGGCGAAAAATATTCAAAATATCTGATACAAAAAAAATTAAATGCTGATGGAACTTTTTCTCCAGAGGTTAGAATACTTAGTGTCTGGTTTGGCTCATTATTAATTCCGATTACTTGCTTTGTTTATGGATGGCTATTAGAGGATAATTTTCGTTACGAAGTATTATTAGTTATATGGTTTTTTTGTAAGTACAAATTATATTTTTATTGAACTCTATCGAAAAGACCTGATTTTTAACTTTTTTTTTTAATCTGTAAAGGCTCATTTGGATTACTAATCACATATAACTCATTAGCAGTATATCTTGTTGATGCATGTCCCGGACATTGTGCTTCAGTGACAGCATTAAATAATTCTATTAGATATTTAGTAGCTGGAATTTTGACAATTTTTGAAACTACAATAGAAGATAATTTTGGTATTCGTTGGACTTTTATTTTTATAAGTGGTTTATGTTTTATTGGTATATTTTTATTAGTGTTGGTATATATTAAAGGAAATTTGTGGAGAGAAAAATATTTTACCGTACATGATACTATTCCATAAAATTTGTAGCATAGACAATTTTCTTCTCAATAATGGACATTTCGCAGTAGGCGTAATCTTATTTTGACTAAATCTTTAAATTTTTATCTGAAATATATTTATTCCCTTGTTATGTTCATAAAAATGTTAGCAATAAACCGTTTGTATATAATAGAGGTTTATTTAATTAGTAGAAATTAATAAATTTAACACCATGGTATTATTTTGATTTGCAAATTTGTGTAACAAAAACAAAAAAATAAAATTTCAAGTTTACTAAAATGCATCATAGGTGTTGAACACCATGTCACACAAAGCTATTAGAATAGCCAATCAAAATTTAAGATCAGATGTAATCTTAAATTTTGTTTTTTTGTTATATCTTAAAATTTCACTTATAAAACTACTCTTAAAGCTCTAATTAAAAAATTTCTTGCTAAATTTTGCATATATTAATATCTAGACTCTATAAGAAAAGTGTCAGAGAATTTTCTAGAAACTGTTACATGTAATCAAAAATTTAATAGTAATGTTTTAGAACTGCTTAGGAACTTGGTCAATTATATAAGAACTGATTTAAACTCTAAAAATCATCAAAAAATAATAGTGCCAATTTAAAGAAGTATTTTTAACACTAGTTAAAAATTGTAAAAACAATACTAAATTATTAAATATTTAGCATGCTATTTAGAAAATATTCAGCAAACATTTAGCAAATATTTAGCTATCATTTGGTACAATCATTACTACTTGGTATTTGTTAATGCTAAGTAGCAGTTAATTGTACCAAACAGCAGTTAAATGTTTGCTAAATGTTTGCTGAATAGTATGCTAAATATTTAATAATTTAGTGCTATTTTTACAATTTTCAACTAGTATAAAAATATTTAAAAATTTTTTAAAGCATAAAAATACTTTTAAAAAGAATCAGAAATCTTTAAAAATTCTTTTTTTTTTTTACGTTTAAGGCAGCTTATATTGCTGACAGGATTTTATTAGTATTTGCATACAGGATTATATATTGATAATCTCTACTGTTTGTAATTACATGAAGAGTATACAACAAGCCACACATACAACTTTAGTTATTGTCTATTTTAAGTAGTTCATAGCATAGGCATTAGGCTACCTAATTAGTTCTACACTATACTACTATATCTATAACCCACCTATGAGTTATCTATTTAAATACTCTGTTCATTAACCCATACAGATCTAATCTAATATTATCACAACATCTAACCACTTAAGCCAGCTAGCTTATTACAGATCTATTTATTCAGAATAGCTTAGGTCTTCTTGAAATATATTATATTAGACATATTGCTAGTATTGCAAAGCTAGTTAACCTCAAAGCAAACCTACTAGAATGGTTTGTATTCATTTTACAAATTCATCTAGCTTAGACCTTTATAGATATTTATACAACTCCAGATTCTACTATGGTCTTCCACTAGTCAGTTGATCTAGTTCTTTTCCAGTATCCAGCTAGTCTCAGCTACTCTTCATCTAAAAACCTTGAAACCTTTTATCTTAATTAGATAAAGTTTTCTTCTCAGATCAGACTTTAGCTGATATAGTCCTGTCAGAAGGCTATACTACTTCACTAACTTGAGATTACTACTATGCAGATCCTCTGCTCATATATCCTATCAAGATTTATTCATGTAATATTATACTACACTTCTAAGTTTTAATCAATTTAGTACAACTCAATTTACAGAAGTACACCCCTAGAAACAAACAAGGTTTACTATAATATATCACAAGGTCTGAGAAATTATTCAAATTTATCAATAGTGGTATTTGAATTCAGACCTATTGTATAGCAGTCTGACAATCTAACTACTATACTAAGTCACTGAACCTCAAGTTAACTAATTTGTTACAGATCTATTTACTTAAATTAGTTTAGATTATCTTAGATTATATTATATCTAATATATTATAAATATTGCAGAGCTAGTTAACTTTAAAGCAAACCTACTAGAGTAGCTTGTACTTATTTTATTAGTTTACTTAGATTAGATTCTTATAATGTTTATATATCTTTAGTTACAAACTTTTATACTTTTACTAGTATCTTCTACTCTTTAAATAGTCAGATTCTCTCAAATCTAGTTAGCTATCTAATTAGATTGATATTGCTAATTAGCAGATCAGACTTACTTATATTTTTGTATCTAAGTTTCTTTCTTCAGATTTTAAATTTTACTAGTATAATATTAAAGATTATACTACTTTACTACTTGAGATTTCTACTATGCAGATCTTCTGCTTATAGATTCTTTTAAGATTTATTTATATAATATTATATCATATTTCTAATATTTAATCAACTTAGTACAACTTAATTTACAAAGTATAATTTCAGAAATAAATAAGATTTACTAAAAGTTAGATACAAGGTCTGAATAATTATTCAAATTTATCAACAGAAGAATTTGAACTCTAGACCTCTTGAATAGTAGTTTGGCAACCTAATTACTATATTAAGATCATCAAACTTAAAAAATATTTATTCTAATTTAGATATAATTTATAAGATTCAATGATCTTAGTATAGTGGTTAGGTTGTCAGACTACTATGTAAGAGATCTGAGATTCAAATCCTACTGTTAATGAATTTGAATAATTACTCAGATCTTTGTATTCAACTTACAGTAAACCCTATTTGTTTCTGGAGTTGTAACTCTGTAAATCATATTATACTAATATCAATCAGGTATTGGAAGTATAACAGAAAAGTCAGGTCTAATATAACATTACACAAATAAATCTTGATAGGATCTACAAGCAGAGGACCTGCATAGTAGAAATCTCAAGTTGGTGAAGTAGTACAGCTTTTG